CTCAGGAGGGGGCAGTTGGGGTCAAGGAGAAGGGAGGCTTAGATAGGAGGTGGGGTCCCGGGAGGGGGCAATCAGGGGACAAGGACCAGTGGGGCTTAGATAGGGGGTGGGGTCCTGGGAGAGGGTGATCAGGGGACAGGGGGGTTGGGGTTTCTGGGGGGGGCAGTCGGAGGGGGTGGATGGGGGCAAGGTGGGGCTACCCTCCCTCCCTGTGAAGTGTCCTATTTTTTGAATGTTAAAATATGGTATTCCTACTCACAGCGCAGCTCTCCATTCACTGCAGGCTGCAACATGAGGTCTCAGCTTCCTCACTCCCTCCCCCTCTTTCCTGTTACTAGCGGCCAAGGGAATGCTGGGAAATGTAGTTCTTTCCCTGCTCCAGGGCTGGCTCTATAGGCAGGGAGCAAACCAAGGAACTAAAGCTCCCAGGGCCCCTGTTGGTTCTTAGCTCCTATGCTGGACCCCTGCCGCCCCTGCAAATGGGCTGCCCCAAGCACCTGCTTGCTTTGCTGGTGCCTAGAGCCGCCCCTGGTCTGGGCCACCTTGGGGTGCCTTGGACCCTGCACCTGCCCATGATGGAATGCCCCAGCATGTGCGGACAAGGGCCTGGGGCTGCTCCTGGTCACCCCACCTTACTTCTGCGCTGCTGCTGGTGCCACCGCTGCCTTCAGAGCTGGGGGGACAGACAGCAGCAGCTGTTGGCCCAGCACCCAGCTCTGAAGGCAACAATGCCACCAGCAGCAGAGAATTAGCTGCATAACGTTTGACCTTTGCTCTGGGAGGAGTGGCTACATGGGGTGGGGCTAAGGTAAAGTTTGGGGTGGCTATAGCCCCCTCAAGTCCCCCCAGCACTGCCCCTGATGACAGGTATGTCTTAGATGCAATCTTGTTTATTTACAAGGAATGTACAAAGTCTTGGGTCTCTGGACCCAGAAAGAAGCAAATAGCAGGAAACAGCTTTTTCACAGACAATCTTTTCCGCCTGCACCCTTGACCCAAAAATCAATCCCCAGCTTCCTGCCTGGGTCAGACACCAGGTTTCGGATGCTCCTTCAGGCTGTGTGTGTGTCTCTCTGGTCCTTTTGTGTTCTGCCTTTCCTCCCCCCACCCCCTTTCCCAAAATAACACTCAGCAAAAACCACACTGCCCCCTCAGTCCAAAACTCCTCAGCGGGTTCACAACTGTCTTACGCGGGGGGCTTGTGATGAACTTACCCTGGTGGTTAATTGAAGGGTGCATTCGCCACATCAATCTCAGAGGTGCGCGATTCATGCAGTCACCAGTACCTCTCAGCAGAACGATGGCATTCAGGTTTGGTGGGAGTGACTTCCAAAGGGGCAAGAAAGTGCAGGAACAGGCTCATTGCTCTACAGGGATTCTAGCTGGGACGTTACCACTCTACCCTTCAGGGATTTGCAGGGGTTAGATTTGCTACATTATCCCTAAGCAGAAGCCACTGTCTGTTTTCCATTTTCCCTTCTCCTGGATTCACATTGTCGGGGGAGGAGAAGATTGGTATGGTGGTTATTCTACTAAACTCAACCCAATTCGTGACTCTCTACAGATTTGGCAATTCTCCTGAAGGGGAAACAGACCCCTTCCCTATGGCACTGGGGTGGAAAAGGAGATATTAGCTGGTGGCTGTGTTGTGACATGGTACAATTGACTTCACTGTCTATAAACCGTATCTGCAGGGTAGCAGGGAGGGTGAATCCGGAAAAAAAAACCAAAAAAAACCACACACACACACACACACACACACACACTCTCTCTCTCCTATGAGT